GGCCTCCGCCGAGTTCCATCTCACCCTGCCCCCCCCTTCCCCTTCTCTGGTGGATAGAGTTGCAGGCCTGGAGTCAGGTAGACTCTCAGACATTTCCTAGCTGTGTGCCCCTGGACAAGTCACTTGGCCCTGTTTGCCTCAGTCTCCTCATCTGTGAAATGGGCTGGAGAAGGCAATGGCCAAGAAAACCCCAAATGGGGTCACAGAGAGCCCCACACGACTGAACAACAACAATGCATCTTATTATTATTAGATGGTGAGCTCCGGGAGGGCAGGACTGACTGCCTTTTGCCTCTTTTGACAACCCCGGGGGCGCTTAGGCGGCCTGGCACTTAGCAGGCGCTAAATCAATGCGCACTGATTGATTGACTTTGCTCAGGCCACAGAGTCCTTGGAACTGGGGCCTTCCCAAGGCAAGGCCCAGGGCCCAGAGGCCTGGGGGTGCTCCCCTGATGTCCTAGGGAGGCATGGGGGGCACCTGGGGAGGGAGGAGGGAGGCGGGGAGGCTTGGACTCTGCAGCGGCTAAGGGAGGGGGGGGGGGGCCTGGGCGACTCAGCGGCCTGCGGCAGGGGGCGCTGCTGAGGCTGCTGTCTGTACGCTCCAGATGCCAAAATCTAGAGGGGTTCGTGGGTCTCCCATATGGTCTAGCGGTTAGGATTCCTGGTTTTCACCCAGGCGGCCCGGGTTCGACTCCCGGTATGGGAAACAGACTGCGCCCTCTTTTTTTTTTTTTTTTCCGCTCAGATGGGAGGGTGCGGGGCTTTTGGAAGGGTAGGGGCTGGGGAGGGGACATCGAGGTTTGCGCGCAATAACGCCCTCCTTACCCACCCCCAACGCTTCTGAGGCCGCCCCGGGCACCGGGCAAGCTTTATTTCCATTCTTCACAACCCTGGGAGTAGGCTGCTCTCAGCGCTGCCCCATTTTACAGATGAGCAAACGTGAGTAAGATCTACTTGACCACAGCATTCTATGGCCTTCTTAGGACGCCTGCTTCAGTTCCCAGCATGAGGCTGGGGTGACCTCCTTATCCCGCAACCCCTTCTTCCTCCCTGGCTCCCCATTGCAACTTCCTAAAGCTCTGCCTCAGGTCTCCTTCCTCCAAGAGAGGTTCCCCTGCCTCCTCCTTCTTTGCACCTGGACCCAAGCGCCTTCCCCTATCCCCCCCAAGGGGAAAAAAAAAAAAAAAAAGGAAGTCCTCGAACTTTCCCCTACCGGGAGTCGAACCCGGGCCGCCTGGGTGAAAACCAGGAATCCCAACCGCCAGACAACATGGGGACGGGGGGAGGGGCACAGCCGGCCCCCGTGATCTATGTAGCGCTTTCTGAAGACTTCCCCGGCGTGCAACTCCCCCTAGTGGTTCTTGTGCGCAGTGCCGCTGAGCTCCCCCTGCACTGACTCTTCTTTCCCCCCCTCTTTCCTTCACCCCTCCCCCCAGCCTTCCTTCCGCTTGAGGAAAGGCCAGGCCAAAGCGCTCTCGGGCACCCGGGCATCCGCCCCGGGCTTTACTGGCACCCAGTGCCAGATCCGCCAGGCTTAGCTCTGGAGTCTCTTTCGAGCCGGGCCTCATCCCTAAACTTCTTCCCTACACTGCCCCAGGAAGGGGAGGAGGGAGGGAGCCATGACGCCGAAATGAGGAAGAGGAGAGGCAGGTATACATAAGCGCCTACTATGTGCTAAGCGCTTTATAAATAGGATCTCATTGGTCGCTCACCGCAACCCTGGGAGGTAGATGCTATTATCATCCCCATTTTACAGATCAGGAAATTGAGGCAAACTTACTTGCCCAGGGTGGCGATTGGAATTGAGGTCTTCCTGACTCCAGGCCCAGTGCTCTGTGTGCCATGGGGTCTCCCTAGGCACTTCATAGGTGGAGAGGTGGGGAGGTTCAATGGTGGGTTTGGAGTGATGAAGACTGCAACGCAAACCTCTCTTCAGACTTGTCTTAGCTCTGTGACATTGGGGCCTGACTGTCGTGGTAAGCTGTCCTTACTAGCTCTGAGTAGATGTGGAAAGAGGTCGAAGCAGATTTCTTTTTTGGCTTTGAATCCACAGTGCACAGGCACACAGTAGGCATTTCACAAATGTTTACTGATTTTGTTTTTCCTTCATGCATTTAACTATTCATCCATTTGTCCACTCTCACTTTCGTTGACTGCCTGCCCTCCACCATCTGGCTCCGGCCTACCTCTGAGATTTATTCAGCCCCTGTACTTTCCAGGCAAGCTGGACCACAGCTCCTTCTTCCTCCTGTCCAGTCTCCCATTCCTGCCCTTCAACAGGGGACTGATGGTAACAAGACAAAAGTCAAGATGGCCCAGGATGCATTGGATGACCTGGGCATCTTCCATGTCTGACCTAGCTCTAAGCCCTCCACATGGCCTGCCTGGTGGTGAGGAATAAATTGTTCTCATCCGCTCATCCCCCCAGGGGAAGTCTTCACATGCTTGGGGTAAACGTCCCACTAACTCAAACTAACGGGTTTGAGACCTGTCCGATTTTGGGGGGTTTTTTTTGCCCTCAACCTGGTTTAGTTGATCTGATGAGACAGTATAGCACAGTAGAACTGCTGCAAATGCTGCAGCTTCTTGGAGTCACAGGTGAGGGTTGGGTGGATGAGCAGCTCTGAAAAGGGCCTGGCAAGTCCTCACAGCAGAGGAGCTAGTCCCCCCGAAACACCCCACATGCCCCTGCCACCCCCACCCCCCTTCTACAACCTTCAGCCATCAGGGTCTCCTCCTCTGTGATTCCTGGGAGAGAAATTTATCACCCAATCGAGGTGTTAGAATCTTCCCCTTCCAGGGCACTCCTTCCTTACTCCCCAAGGGCTCCTAATTTCATGCCAGGGGACTTTGGCATACAAACTGACCCAAACTGCACCAGCTTCCCAACCCACTTTAGCCCGTGACCTCTTCCTCCACCCCATCTCAGCTACAAACACAAGGCCCTCTCTGATCATACTCTTTCGATTTTTCAACCTTCTTAGTCATCTCGGTATCCACAGACCCAAAGTTAATGGTAGCCAAGTTAAGCGTTTGTTCGATGAATTCATTTGTCTCCTGGAGAAGTCCCTTACTAGAGTTTAAATTCACTCCTTCAAGCCTCGCAACCTTCAAATTCCTGTTCCTGCCCATATTTATTCAAACAGGAGATGGTCGAGGCTAGCTCACCACGGTGCACAGAAGGCTGAGAGCTTCAGGTAGCCCCAGGCCCAGTGCTTGCTAGAGATGAAGCTGAAAATGGCTGTCTGGGCCAGAAGCCAAGAGAGTCAGATCCAGGGGAGAACACTGATGAGGGTGAAGGGGCTTTTGGCTGGGAGAAGGCAAGGGAGAACTTTGGACTTTTCTTTCTATAATACTGTATTTTACTTCCCAATTCTCTCCCTTAGTGGCAATCTCAAAAGGTGAATTCGGCTGGTTTGTGACCCCTAAGGAGGGGATCTTTTGTTATTTAGGTCATAAACTCATTTGGGGTTTTGAGGATGAAAACCACTGGTCTGAGCCCAACTGCCACCAGAGTTTTCCAGTTCTCTCGACAGTTTTCGTAGAAGCTGGAAGGCCCCCCC